TCGTACTGAGAGATTACATCCGCGAAAGCCACTATAGTGGCACGTCGTACTGAGAGATTACATCCGCGAAAGCCACTATAGTGGCACGTCGTACTGAGAGATTACATCCGCGAAAGCCACTATAGTGGCACGTCGTACTGAGAGATTACATCCGCGAAAGCCACTATAGTGGCACGTCGTACTGAGAGATTACATCCGCGAAAGCCACTATAGTGGCACGTCGTACTGAGAGATTACATCCGCGAAAGCCACTATAGTGGCACGTCGTACTGAGAGATTACATCCGCGAAAGCCACTATAGTGGCACGTCGTACTGAGAGATTACATCCGCGAAAGCCACTATAGTGGCACGTCGTACTGAGAGATTACATCCGCGAAAGCCACTATAGTGGCACGTCGTACTGAGAGATTACATCCGCGAAAGCCACTATAGTGGCACGTCGTACTGAGAGATTACATCCGCGAAAGCTACTATAGTGGAGCGTCGTACAGGAAGATGACATTCGCGAAAGCCACTATAGTGGCACGTCGTACTGAGAGATTACATCCGCGAAAGCCACTATAGTGGCACGTCGTACTGAGAGATTACATCCGCGAAAGCTACTATAGTGGAGCGTCGTACTGAGAGATTACATCCGCGAAGCCACTATAGTGGAGCGTCGTACTGAGAGATGACATCCGCGAAAGCCACTATAGTGGCGCATAGTGCCTAAGAGATTAATATCGATTTTCACGAATTCAGTGAGAGAAACAGGCCTTGTAAAAATAACGATATTATCGATAATTGGTTCCTGTCGTACAGTAGCTTCGCCGGTATATGTATTCAAGTAGAAAAGGTAGTTGTTGTTCAGCCACCTGTTATGATCCTAAACAGAGTTTCGGTCCCGATAAGTATAACAAGTAAGGAACGACGGTGAACGATGATTGATGAGTAACGATCGACTTTCAAGCAGCTTATCGGAGAACTCGGCGGGTCTGCCGGGGAACGACGTGTCAGATGTTCGCGCGCGGAGTCGAAGTCAAAGCGGGCGGAAAGCTGGTTAACTCGGCTATTCACAGGACGCGAAGTGGAAGGCATGGAAGCTTGGCGACGGCAAAGGAGAGTTTGCCCGACTAATAACATACTAACCATCCGAGCCACGTGTTTCCTCAAAGAAGCCGTCTTTTTGTTCTCGACCGATGCGCTCTTTCCGTCGCCGCGCGCGCCACGAATCTCGGATCTTCGATTCGGTTCAATTTTTTATACACATCGTCGATGTAATAATAGTTTTATGATTTTATTGCTCGCTTAATGCCTGTCGCTCGGTGGTCTAATTAAAATCCTTGTCGGAAATCCGTTGGAATCCGACGCTTCCAATCAATTTCGATGTACGATGGTTCGTGCGACGCAGCGATCGATCAGCCCAGTAGCAACGCAATTGATCCGCGAAACGAGACGATTCGTGACAGGGTTACAGGATATTTGATGCCAGAGACAAATACATATCCTGCCCGGTGAAATTAATACTCTCCGAACCAGTACATCGGCTTCTATCATTATCACTCACTTTTCTAATGATTATTAACAGCTTCGACCGCTGACTTCATGCAAAATGATATTTTTTTAACGTATTTTAAGGAAGATGTACAGCTAGTAACAGTGAAACTGAGCCAGCTATGTGCATGTGTTAGTTTCCTCTAGGGGACAAAATTCAAAACGAGTAATAAGTAAAAACAATTA